CATACCGACTAGCGCATTGTCGGCATTCAAAGTTGTAAATAAGATGACTAAGGTGAAGGGCTGGTAGGACATCCTTCCGCACCGTAAACGCACGCATCGTCGTAAAAACTGGCACAAAGTGTACTGCATAGTATGTTGGACGAACAACGGACTTGACTGCACTACAAACATTAGTCGACTCCTGTCCTTTCCAAGGCAAACATTAATAGACGGGACAACGAGCAGGACCAAACAAAGGAGCCTTAGTAGTTTGTTCGACTTTCAACAACTTCTGCAGCAAAAACTCAGGGTACCCGTTCTTAACGAAAACTGACCGGAGAAAGTCAAGCTCTTCCTGCAGCTTACAGGACGAACAAATACGCTTCGCACGGTCTACAAGGTTACGCACTAAGTTTACTTTATATTGAGACGAACAATAAGAGTCATATACAATGTACTGACCAGTAAACGTCGGCTTACGATAAACGGTTGTCAGAACTAAGGCTCCTTTGTTTGGTCCTGCTCGTTGTCCCGTCTATTTATGTTTGCCTTGGAAAGGACAGGAGTCGACTAAAGTTTGTAGTGCAGTCAAGTCCGTTGTTCGTCGAACATACTATGCAGTACACTTTGTGCCAGTTTTTACGACGATGCGTGCGTTTACGGTTCGGAAGGATGTCCTACCAGCCCTTCACCTTAGTCATCTTATTTACAACTTTGAATGCCGACAATGCGCTAGTCGGTATGTTGGTAGGACTGTTCAGCACCTGAACGCACGCATCAAACACACACCACGTCACATACTTCCACCTTGCGCACAACAACAAAGACCGAAGCGAGGGCGACCTAGAAAACAACCATTAACCACACAGCCGTTGCCTACACAACCCGCGGATCCTGGCTCTCAGACTGTGCTTGCTCCGCCGTCGTTGGTGGCGGTGGTGGAGGAGAATGGGCGTGGTGGCTCATCGGGTCGGCTTGTGTCGCCGCCTTTGCTCCGGCCGTCGGTGGTTCCCTCGTCAGTGCCCCCGGCGGCTTTGGCTGGGGCGGTGCCGCTTGCGGTCCCGGTCCCACTGCCTCCTCCTGATCCTCCGCCATCGGTTCTTGCGGCGGTGGAGCTTGCCAGTGGCAGACCGCGAGCAACACTGACAGCTGCATTAACACTACAAATGCCGACTCAAAAAGACCCACCTTGCATATCAGTAACTCCCACGCCAACACCAACAACGCAATCTACAGCAACTACAACTAATCCACCATCCAAGCCCATAATTGAAAGACCAAGACGATCAACAGCCAACTACAACAGAAGCTACGCACTCAGCGGACGAGGGCGAAAGGAGGGACGTGATAGCAGGGGGACGGCCGAGTTGAGTTCAATGGACCCGTCCAGGCGGGATGGACGAGACAGAGAGAGTACAGAGGAAGCGGAGGATGGAACGGACGGTGGAGGGAGCAGTGAGTCGGAGAGCGGTGATGGGAGTGGTGGTGAGAGTGCCGGTGAGAGTGTTAGTGTTGTGCGTAGGTTTCGTGGTAGCAAGTCTTCAGTGTACAATCATCTGCTGGCTAGTCCTGATTGTTGCGGTGCGTATTCCGACTCTTCGTTCACTGTATTGTGCCGTGGTCGTCATGGTTATGGACTACAGTTAAAAGTGTTGGAAGCTATCTATCAGCGTCTGTACAAGCCTAATTTGTGTGTACAGAAAGATAGTATAATTGGGTTGAAATTGTTCAAGTAACGTGTCGTGTTTAGTGCGGCCAAGCTTGGCCGTTAATGTTCTAGGTTTAATGTACTGCTGTTATGTGTTATCACGTTGTCTTTCCTTCCTTTCTCCTTTGTTCATTTCTCGCTTTGATTGTTAAAATTCACACTTGTAAATTTCACTGTTGTTGCTCTTAGTGTTATTTCTCTAACTTAGATTTTCTATAATAGTTCAATTTTTGTTTCAGTGTCCTTTAGTACAACGACGATTCCTGATGAGTGTTGTACGAAAACTTGTTTGAATCCCTTTCTTTCTCTACACAATTTCTTCACATTTTTCATCGTTTTATTGCACATTGTCTCCACAGTTTTACAATACATGAATACAGTGTACACAAATGTCGATCCAGCTTGTATTACTGATTGTGGCATGATATTATTATATATAACCCTAACCCTAACCCTAACCCTAAATAAAAGCCTAAACCTAACCCTAACCCTAACCCTAACCCTAAATATAAGCGTAAACCTAACCCTAACCCTATCCCTAACCCTAAACACTAAATATAATCATAATATTAACCCTAACCCTAACCCTAAGTATGATTATGCAAAATGAAAAAATGCCAAAATATTATGGCAGGAAAGTAGCAAATTATGGCAGGAAAGTAGCCAAATTATGGCAGGAAAGTAAATTATGGCATGCCAAAATATTATGGCAGGAAAGTAGCAAATTATGGCAGGAAGGTAGCAAATTATGGCAGGAAAGTAGCCAAATTATGGCAGGAAGGTGGGATCTTATTTTTCGTGTATCCAATAGTAATTTTGTTTATTTAGGAAATTTTTAATATAAAGGGTCTGCCAATACATTTTTCTGATATGCCAACCCCAAATTATATCTGCCAACCCCAGAAAATTTCTGCCAATTGTCACCTAACACCATCAGATTATGGCGAGTCCTAACCCTAACCCTAATCCTAAACCAAAATATAATACCAAGGCATCCAGCTTACTGCAATTCTAAGCCACAGGAAATGCGAATGCAGGTGCAAACGCAAAACCGAACGCTAACCCTAACCATAACCCTTACCCTAACCCTAACCCTAAAGCAAACACTGACCCTAGCGCTGAGCCAAATCTAATACCGAAGCTTTCATTTATTTGCAATTCTAAGCCTGGCCTTGAACTAACGCTGTTGAAAACGAGTAAAAAACGACAAAAACATTAACACTAACCCTAACCCTAACCCTAACCCTAACCCTAACCCTAACTCTAGCCCTAGCCCTAAACCAAATCTAATACCCAAGCTTACATTGGTTTGCAATTCTAGGCGTGGCCTTGAACTAATGCTGTTGAAGACGAGTAAAAAAACCACAAAAAAACATTAACCCTACCCCTAACCCTAACCCTAACCCTAACCCTAACTCTAGACCTAGCCCTAACCAAAGGCTATTAGGAAGGGTACAGCTAATTGCAATTCTAAGCCTAATCCTGAACCAATGCTGGCGAAAACGATCAAAAAACGATAAAAAACATTAACCCTAACCCTAACCCTTACCCTAACCCCAACCCTAACACTAATCCTAAACGAAAATCTAATACCAAGGCATACACCTAATAGCAATTCTAAGAAACAGGCAATGCGAATGCTGGTGCAAACGCAAAACCAAACGCTAACCCTAACCCTAACCCTATTCCTAACCCTAGCCCTAACTCTAGCCCTAGCCCTAACCCAAAGGCTATTAGCAAGGGGTACAGCTAATTGCAATTCTAAGCCTAATCCTGAACCAATGCTGGCGAAAACGATCAAAAAACGATAAAAAACATTAACCCTAGCCCTAACCCTAACCCCAACCCTAACCCTAATCCTAAACCAAAATATAATATCAAGCCATACAGCTAATTGCCATTCTAAGAAACAGGCAATGCGAAACTGGTGCAAACGCAAAACTAAACGCTAACCCAAACCCTAACACTAACCCTAACCCTAACCCTAGCCCTAACTCTAGCCCTAGCCCTAAACTAAAGGCTATTAGCAAGGAGTACAGCTAATTGCAATTCTAAGCCTAATTCTGAACCAATGCTGGCGAAAAGGATCAAAATCATTAACCCTAACCCTAACCCTAACCCTAACTCTAGAACTAGCCCTAAACCAAAGGCTATTAGGAAGGGGTACAGCTATTTGCAATTCTAAGCCTAATCCTGAACCAATGCTGGCGAAAACGATCAAAAAACGATAAAAAACATTAACCCTAGCCCAAACCCTAACCCCAACCCTAACCCTAATCCTAAACCAAAGTATAATATCAAGCCATACAGCTAATTGCAATTCTAAGACACATACAATGCGAATGCTGGTGCAAACGCAAAATCAAACGCTAACCCTAAACCTAACCCTAACACTAACCCTAACCCTAACCCAAATACTGACCCTAGCCCTGAACCAAATCTAATACCTTAAGCTTCCATTTATTTGAATTTCTAAGCCTGGATTTGAACTTATGCTGTTGAAAACGAGTAAAAAAAACGACAAAAAAACATTAACCCTTACCCTAACCAAAATACTGACCCTAGCCCTGAACCAAATCTAATACCTTAAGCTTCCATTTATTTGAATTTCTAAGCCTGGCCTTGAACTTATGCTGTTGAAAACGAGTAAAAAAACCGACAAAACAACATTAACCCTAACCCTAACACTAACCCTAACCCTAACCCTAACCCTAACCCTAATCCTGACTCTAGCCCTAGCCCTAAACCAAATGTAATACCCAAGCTTACATTTATTTGAAATTCTAAGCCTGGCCTTGAACTAATGCTGTTGAAAACGAGTAAAAAACGACAAAAAAACATTAACCCTAACCCTAACCCTAACCTTAATCCTAACCCTAACCCTAGCCCTAACTCTAGCCCTAGCCCTAAACTAAAGGCTATTATCAAGGGGTACAGCTAATTGCAATTCTTAGGCTCATCCTGAACCAATGCTGGCGAAAACGATCAAAAACATTAACCCTAACCCTAACCCTAACCCTAACCCTACCCCTAACCCTTACCCTAACCCTAATCCTAAAGCAAAATATAATACAAAGCTTACATTTGTTTGCAGTCTGTCTGATCAGCGCTTACCCAGGACCGGTGCTGCCAGCTTTCATGGCAGTTTGCATGTGGGCTTCCGTCACTCGGCTGTGCAAGGCACGGCCGAAGTCTCCCCAGGAATGGACGGAAGAGCACGCACGGGAGTGGGCATGTGAGCGGCGGTAGGGTGGCACGAATGGAATCGCTTGAAATCTTGCCTGGAGAGAGCGTCAGCAAGGATGTTGGTAGTTCACGGTATGTGACGGGCGGTGACCATAAAATTACCCTTGGCGCAGATGAAGAAGAGCTGCCGTAGGAGTGACATCACATTAGGGCAGCGACTGGTGCCAGACTTGAGAACAGCGGCGACAGCTTCGTTGTCGGTATGGAAGCGGATACGCTTGCGACACCACTGGTGGCCCCACGTAGCACATGCAATGCAGATGGGGTACAGCTCCTTGAACGTAATGCAGAGCGGAGTGTGTTGTGGTGACCAGGTGTCGGCGAACCAATGCGTGCCGTAAACTGCGCCATGCCCAATGGCGCCAGATGCGTCAGTTTCTATCAGGATGTCGCTGGCCAGAGTCTCCTGGAGATCGAGGAAGAATGACTTGCCATTCCAGCCATCGAGTAGGTGAGACCACCAAAGAAGGTCCAGATGACATTCTGGGGAGAGACGGATGCGGTGGTAGGGCTTGGAAACGTTGCGCGTGGCATCGTACAGTCGGCGCATGAATGTACGGCCCGGCGTGATGACGCGGCTGGCAAAGTTCAGCTTGCCCAACAGCTGTTCAAGCTCCCGTAGACGGCAGGATTGGCGTTGGCGAAAGGCCAATAGTCTGGAGCGGATGTCGTCAGCCTTGTCCTGTGGGAGACGAGCCACTTTCTGGACGGAGTCCAGTTCGATGCCCAGGAAGGTGAGACAGGAGGTTGGGCCGACTGTCTTTTCGTCGGCAATGGGAACTCCCAGGTAGCGGAATACGGAGAGGACTACGTTCAGACGCTGCGCACATAGCGTTGAGTTTGCAGGGCCACAGAGCCAGAAGTCGTCCAGAAGGTGCAGGAGGTGGGGAACCTGGAACAGTTCACAGCTTATCTGGCAAAGTGCGTCCGCAATGCAGTTAAACAAGTAGGGTGCGGACCTCAGCCCGAATGGCAGTACTTTGTCATAGTAGAATTGGCCCTGCCACTGGAAACCCAACAAATGGTATGCAGTGGGTGCGACCGGGACCAGTCGAAATGCATTGCGTATGTCGAGCTTCGCCATCAAGGCACCGGTACCTTGACGTTGCAGACGCTCAATGGCATCGTCCACTGTGACATAATGTAGGGAGAACGAATCCTTGTTTATTCCATCATTGACAGACATACGGTCAGGGTAAGACAGGTGGTGAATGAGGCGGAATTTCCCGTTGTTCTTGGGCACTACGCCGAGCGGAGAGCATACAAATGGGTGGAAAGGCTGGACCGAGAAAGGACCGGCCGATTCGTCACGTCGGACCCGGTCAGCAGTTTGTTGTTGTACAAACTGAGCATGTTCAATGGCAGTTGGGAGGTTGCCGGAGATGATAGATAACCCTAACCCTAACCCTAACCCTAGCCCCAACCCTAACCCTGATCCTAAACCAAAATCTAATACCAAGGCATACAGCTAATTGCAATTCTATGACACAGGCAATGCGAATGCTGGTGCCAACGCAAAATCAAACGCTAACCCTAACCCTAACCCTAACCCTAACCCAAACAATGACTCTAGCCCTGAACCAAATCTAATACCTTAAGCTTCCATTTATTTGCAATTTTAAGCCTGGCCTTGAACTAATGCTATTGAAAACGAGTAAAATAACGACAAAAAACATTAACCCTAACCCTAACCCTAACCCTAACTCTAGACCTAGCCCTAAACCAAAGGCTTTTAGTAAGGGGTACAGCTAATTGCAATTCTAAGCCTTATCCTGAACCAATGCTGGCGAAAACGATCAAAAAACGATAAAAAACATTAACCCTAACCCTAACCCCAAGCCTAACCCTAATCCTAAACCAAAATCTAATACCAAGGCATACACCTAATTGCAATTCTAAGAAACAGGCAATGCGAATGCTGGTGCAAACGCAAAAACAAAACGCTAACCCTAACCCTAACCCTAACCCTAACCCTAACCCAAACCCTAATCCTAATCTAACCCTAACCCTAGCCCTAACTCTAGCACTAGCCCTAAACCAAAGGTTATTAGGAACGGAGTTGTAATTCTAAGCCTAGTCCTGAACCAATGCGGGCGAAAACGATCAAAAACATTAACCCTAACCCTAACCCCAAGCCTTTTTTTTTACAGTGTAGGTCGGAAGCAGTTTCCCACGCTCCTGTGTTTTTGGGCTTTTTTACCTGTGTAGAGACCGTCCGATGCCAGATACAACACTGTCCTGGGCTATGGCGACAGGCGTGCCAATAGATGTCGAGCGTCCGGCAGATCTGGTGTCCCCCACCTTCGAATCGGCAAGTTCAAACCAGAGTACTAGTATGGAGAAATCTTACTTTCTGAAGATCGTTGAGATACTGGAGCTAGACCGCAGTGCAGCTGAGGATAGGGAGAAACGACTTCTAAATCGTATCGACCACCTTACGCGGAAGGTAGAAGCGCTCACAAACGAGATGACGGCCAAAGACGCCAAGGATCTCCCTCGGTGCAAAAATCATCCCAGAAGAAACAGAAGCGAGTTGCAGCTTCCAGCCCTGGCGTACCCGTACCCGTAGCTGGCTGTCCTCAAAAGGAACTAGTACGAGATTCGGTTGAACCATGCTCCTCAGTTGTACGTACCGAACAACAAGATACCAGCATGACTGAAGCGTCCAGGGTGCATCAAATGGACCCAGATGCTCCAACTGATGCAAAACCTGGCAAACAAGGACTTTCCAGAATGCTCCCTACTTTTGAAGAGGATGCGGAAGGCAGCAATTTATGGCAGCTGATCTGCACCAAGAAGCCAACAGGAAGGAAGGCTGTTCTGTTTGTGGGCAACCTCCGGAAGGATTGCGATGCAGATACCCTTTGTCAATACGTACAACAAAGGGCGCAAGAGGTTGGCGTGAAGGTGCAAATCCATGATTGCACGCTATTTCCCAAGGAGAAAGGTCACTCAGCCCGACTCATTCTCAACAGAACGAGTATTGAACTTGTAAATACAAAGGAATTTTGGCCATCTCCGTACTACAGTGGAAAATGGAACTTCGACAAGTACCCTGGATCTGGGAACTCAGTGGATATGCAGAAGCCTGACGGACCAAAAGATCAGTCAGCGACCAGCGATCTCAACGATGGAGTGCTTACCCGCAGCAAATCTAAAGGTCAATGCTGACAATCTCATTTCTGAATGTTTGCAGCATCAGACGGAAAGTGGATGAGGTGAAGGAGTTCCTGTCGGCCAGAGGAGTGCACATCTTTGGTATGTCAGAAACCTGGCTGAAACCCGATGTTGGTGATGGAGAATTGGCGATTCCTCATTACAAACTTTTCAGGAAGGACCGCCCCATCCAGCAAGGTGGTGGCGTCGGCATTTACTGCCATGAGTCTGTGGTTGTCCGAAGACGAATGGATTTGGAAGCTGCTGAGCTAGAGATTGTATGGCTGGAAGTCAGATGTCCTGGTGATACTCTCCTTGTCGGGTGTGGATACCGTCCTCCAGACAAGCCAGTGCCGTACTGGGACTCTCTTCAAGAGAACATAGAAACTGCTATGGAAGGCCCTCAGGCATCTACCGTTCTCATTGGAGACTTCAACATTGATTACAGCTGTGAGAACTCTCCGAACGCACAACATCTGCACCGAGTACTATCCAGTAGTAATCTTCGGAATTATGTCACCTCACCAACTCGTGTCACGAGCCACACGGCTTCAACCATAGATCTGTTTCTGTCAAATACACCCATTTCTGGTGCCTGTGAAACGATTTACGGAGATATTAGCGACCATTTCGCCATCCTTGCACACTTGCCTGTAAACCAGACAGGGGTAAACCGAACATCACAACCCGGACAGAGTCGCCGTATCCACACCATCGACTGGGAGAAGTTTCAGACTGATCTGTGTGTCCACTTTCATCAGTTCCCTCGGAACGGCACGATAAATGACATGACAGGTGCATTCACGTCTGCTATTTGGAAACACTAGATGAGCACGCCCCCTTGGTGGCGAGGCGCAAGCGTGGTCGCCGGATCTGTCCTTGGTTAACTGAGGAGTTGGTATCTGCAGTACGGCACCGCAACAGGCTACACCATCGACTCATGAAGGATCAAGCCAATGAGGTGATTCGTGAGCAACATCGGCTCGCCAGAGCTTTTGCCAGGAAGCTTAACCGAAAGCTTCGTAACCTGTACTTCGTAAACCAGTGCAACACACCTGATCAGCGGAAACTTTGGTCAGCAATGAACACAGTCACAGGGCGACGGAAGGAACGTCAAATACCTCAGGTTTCTGTTGAGGATCTCGGCCATGTCTTCGGTGAAATTGTCAATGACCCAAGCAGACCACAGAATCTGCACCCGCCACTTGGGCCAATGCCAGCCAACAGTCTTCACGTCTTCAAACCTGTAAGTGTTGCAGATGTTGAAAAGTGTCTTAAAGCTGTGGATCCATTCAAAGCTGCCGGCAGTGACTCTGTACCTGGAATTGTCCTGCGGCAATGTGCAAATGTGCTTGCTCCTCCACTTTCCTGTATCATTAATAGTTCACTACAGAGTGGTGTTGTGCCCACCACGTTCAAGCACTTCCACATCAGTCCCCTGCATAAAGCCGGAGACCGCTCATCAGCCCGCAACTACAGACATGTATCCTTACTCCCTATCGTTTCGCGTATCCTAGAGCAGTTTGTGAAGAGACAGCTGACAGAATATCTGTACAGCAATGATTTATACCCGATGACTCAATTTGCATATCGACCCCGCCATTCAACAGAAGATGCATTGGTACTAGCAGTGAATCGCTGGCTATTAGCGAAATCCGAGCGCAAGTACACCGGTTTGGTTATGATTGATATGTCGAAGGCGTTTGATCGTGTACAACATGAGAGGCTGGTTAATGAACTGCACACCCTAGGCATTGGAGGAGCACCCCTACACTGGTTCTGTGACTACCTCAGTGGCAGGTCACAGCAAGTGAGGGTGCTGGACAGCTTGTCTTGCTCTGTTGGCTGTACGCGTGGTGTTCCGCAAGGGAGCGTTCTTGGACCCATTCTCTTTGTGTTGTACACCCGTAATCTGCACACAGCACTTCCTGCAACTGTCAATCACCAAGAATTTGCTGACGATATAATCCTTGATTTCTCCCATCCTGACTTAGATTTTGTTGGCAGAACTCTGACGAGAGCAGTAACTGATATCTCCCGATGGCTTGAAGACATCGGCCTCGTAATGAATGCCAGCAAGACTCAGGTCATGTTCGTTCAGCCTCGTGGCGCAGCCATTGCCACACCCGATGTTTTCTGCAACAACGAGCAACTGGAGGTGACGGCCACCGCAAAATACCTTGGTGTGATCGTTGACGACCAATTGTCATGGTGGCCACATGTCGACTATGTGTCACGTAGAACTGCACAAACCATAGGGCAATTGTGGAGACACGGGCGTTCACTAACGCTTAGAGCTCGACGGTCGTGGTACACCAGTATGGTAAACAGCCAGCTGTGTTATGCTTCAGCAGCATTCTACCCAAGCCTCACAGCTCAGCTTCTCGACCGTTTGGGGAAGATCAGCAAGGCTGGAGTCAGAGCTGTGTTTCAGCTCCCTCGTCAAACACCGACCGCACCTCTTATTTCTAGATTAAATATTTCCCCACTGATCCACCATTTTAAGCTCAAGATTGTTGTTTTTGTCCATAGATGTCTTGCCTCCAATGCAAGCATGCTATTTTCGCCTTTCTTTCTGTTGATCGCTGAACCTGGTCTTGAGCAAAGCACACGCCGTGTTACACGTGGCCAGGTCTCACGTCTTCTCCAAATTCCGTTCGTTCGTGGACCAGCATCTCGAGCGTCCATGCAATTCGTGGGCAGCGTGTATTGGAACAGGCTTCCGGCAAATATTCGTTGCCATGAAGATATTCTGGGTTTCAAAGCCCTGCTGTGCCCAGATGTTCTTGACACGCTTTCTCTGTCTTGACTCATTCGTCAGACATGTGCATTTTGATCTTTTGGTTTGGTCTCTAATCGACAAACTGACTTTTCTCCTCAAATACCTCAACTTCTTTATTTCTATTTCATACATCTGCTCCGTTTATTCCTTACTGTTTTCTTTCTATCTTTTTCTTTTCTTTCCCTTGTCATTTAATCACTGTCACTCACATACAAATACCGTCATAAAATATATAACACAAGATTTTC